ATATGCTGACTCTGTAAACCGCTTAGAGAGGGCTGAAAGCCCTATGAAGCGGTATATAAGTCTAACTTGCTATTGCTATTGCTATTGCTAAGGAACATGCCCCACGAACCCCACACACTTTTACCACAACCCTAGCCACCGTGCCCCTTTGATCAGGCTAATGGCCGCCACATGAAGAGAGGCAGGCCTAGTGATGTGCAACACAGCAGCAGCCATGACCACGCTCGTTGCTTCTTGCACCTCAAAAATAATAAGACCTCCCCGGTCTTATTATCTTTTGATCCCCAAAATAAGGCCAAGCGCTAAAATAAGACTATTATTATTTTCGGGGAAACACCGTATGTATATATTAGACGTCTGATGAAATAATCTTAGACTGAACCATACAACACTGAATGGCCCAGAAACAGATTGCTCCATTAATCTTTATGGAAAGGCATTTTAGGAGACCCCTGGCTTAGAATAGCCAAAAGCCTCTGTTGTGTAGCCTTGGCACGAGAGGGTGTCAGCTTGCGGGATGCCCATGCATTTGTGCAACTTCTTGTGGTCTCAAGTTCTTTCAGGAAGGGCTGCTGAGGGCAGTCATTCCTGCAAAGAAAAAATGCAGGCAGGCAGGCAGGCAGGCAGGCAGGGATGGATGGATGGAAGGAAGGAAGGAAGGAAGGAAGGAAGGAAGGAAAGAAAGAAAGAAGGAAAGGGAAGAGAGGGAGGAAGAAAAGGAAAGAGGGGGAAAGAAAGGAATGAGGGTGGAAGGAGAGTGAAGTGAACAGCAATCTATTATCAACAAAAGAGTTTCTCATTGTAGTAAGAAGATTTAATTCAGAGTTCAGAATTATCTCAAGGCGTATGAGGCAGTCATCTTATTGTCTATGTTTGACGACATTGGAGCATCTCTAGAATGAAATGTTTGTAGAGATTCCAAACAGACTTTTAAAACTTTTTACATTAAAGCTATGTCCCAGTAATCATTTGACTACTTCATATTCTCAATAACTTCCCTCTCTCACCCAAACAAAACTTCAATTTGTTTCTTAGATTTAGATCTGTTTTTCCTCCAGGAACTCATTTCAGCGTCCCTTTTAGTCCCTTCTCCTGTCCCCCACCCTAATATATGTTGGGCTAAGAGATCGTGACTAGCCCAAGATCAGAGAATTTCCATGGCTGAGCATGGACCCACCCTGGGGTCTCCACAGTGCTACCCAACACCTAGACCCGTGATGGTGAACTTATGGCACAGTTGCCCAAAGAGTCGTGTGAAGCAATGTCACCCAGCACGCGTGACCTTGCCAGTTTGTCTTCCAGGTTTCTGGCCCGCATGTGTGGACGACAATCAGCTATTCTTTGTGCACACAGCAGTGTCGAAAACCGGTGTGCACATGCACACCGGCCAGTTGATTGTCAGGAGGGTGCATACACGCCCGAACCCAGAAGTTTGGCTTTTTCAGAGTGCAGCCCCCCCCCCCCCCGAGCGTGTGCGTGCATGCATGCGTGATGTTTCTGTGTGACCATTCAGTGCCGAACAGGTTTGCCATCACCGGCCTAGACTGTACTGGTATACCATGCAATTGTTTGTAATAGGAAATGCCTTCGTGTGAAAAGTTGTTTGTGCAAAGTTTGCTGCATGTCATTGGAATTGTTTGATCCAGGAATTCTGGCAATCTGAGGCACACCGCTGTGAAACGAACACTACAACGCAAGGGTGGGCAACTGTAGCCCCTTCCCCTGCTGTAGCACAACAGGAGGGATTGCCTTCCCAGCTCCCCCCCCCCCCCGTTGAAATGGCTTTCTGTGATCAAAAGCATCTCCTGCTGACTCACGCAGAAGTCTTTGGGCGGATTAAATCTTGTTTAATCAATAGATCAGAGCTCACAGCTCTATTAATTACAGGCTTCCTGCTGAGAAAACAACATGGCCATCTCTATGAAGTCATCTGGGGTTGAGCTCAACTTGAAGGGAAATTTATCTTAAAGCCAATTAAAGCGGAGCCGCATTTGCGAATATTCAGCTTCCTCGGGCATGCATGCGCTTCCTTTTTTTTTTAATTTTTTAATTTGCGAGAGCTGATCTCTATTACCGCTCAAATCTCCCAGGTGAACCAGACATCCCACAGAAGCTGTGACCACGTCAAAAACTGAAAGAAAAGGAAAGAAAGATCAGCTTCAATACAAAGGGAGTCAAAAGGAGGCAGAGGACAAAAAGCATATTGCATCCTTATAGTACAGCTTCGCACCTGAGCAAAGGGTTGGAATAGAAGACCTCCAAGGTCCCTTCCCACCCTATTATTCTTTCTTCTATGTAGGAAACTGGTCAGGAATAGAATAGAATAACAGAGTTGGAAGGGACCTTGGAGGTCTTCTAGTCCAACCCCCTGCTCAGGCATTTCATTTCAGACATATGATGACCCAATTAATCAGTGGAACGGCTTATCTCTGGAAGTTGTGGATGTTCCATCATTGGAAGTTTTCAAGAGGAGATTGGACAATCATTTGTCTGGAATGGTATAGGGAAGGGATAGCTACCTTTTTTTGGATTGCGTGCCAAAAGTGGGGGGAGCGCAAGGGGGGTCGTGGGTGGGCGTGCCCGCACCCAAAATGCTATGTGTGTGACACCAGTGTGCATGCGCGTGCGACCAGCGCTTCCCCCTGCTTTTGGCTCACTTCTTTCACCCTCCCCAAGCTCCAGAGGCTTTCTAGGAGCCTGGGGAGGGCGAAAACACCCTCCCTCACCCCCCGCACCCCCCTGAGGCTTTCCAGAGGCTTTAGGAGCTTCCCTGAATCCACCAGAGGGCAAAACATGGCCCTACAGGCAACCCGGAAGTTCAGGAACGGTGACTTCCGGTTTTCAAGGAAGCCTCCGGAGGGCGAAAAATGGCCTTAAAAGAAGGCCAAAATCAGCTGGCTGACAGGGCAACGCCTTGCATGCCCTAATAAATGGCTCCGCGTGCCACTTGTGGCACGCATGCCATAGGTTCACCATCACGGGTATAGGGTCTCCTGAAGTTTTGTTTGGATGAGAGAAGGAAGTTATTAAGAATTTGAAGGGGTCAAATGATTTCTCTCTTGCTCCTCCTTCTCTCCTTCCACCTCCTTCCTTCCTTCCTTCCTTCCTTCCTTCCTTCCTTCCTTCCTTCCTTCCTCCCTTTTTCCCTTTCTTCTGCTCTCTCCTCCCTCCTTCCCTCTCTCCCTTCCTTCCTTCACCCCTCCTTCCCTGTCCTCATCCCTCCCTCCCTTCCCTTTGCACCTTTGGGACATATGTTGCAACATCGTACACATACTATTTTTATTTATTTAAAAGATGTATAAAGCCACCCATAGTAGCACACACAACTCTGGGTGGGGGATGTTGGTGTGAAAAAGGCAAACAATAAAATCAATAAGGGGAAAAAGAACAAAATGAAATAAAAAATAAGGAAAGCCAGGCACCCAACCCATCATTACAGGTTAGTCCTCGACACATGACCATAATGGAGCCTGCCCATTATGGTTGTATGTCATGACGGTTGAAAAATGGGTCACCTATATAAGTGACCCGATTTTATGACATTTTAAAAATCATTAATGAAACACTGTGGTCGTTAAGTGAACCAATTGTTCGCTTTGGGGCAGTTTGTGCCGAAAAGTGGAAGTAAATGCTGGATTTGGGCAAAACATCATAAAACACCATAAATAGTGATTCCACAGATTAGTGTTCCTCAACCTCGTTAACTGGAAGGTGTGTGGACTTCAACTCCCAGAATTCCCCAGCCAGCACGGGAATTCTGGAAGTTGAAGTCCACACACCTTCAAGTTACCAAGGCTGAGAAAAAAGTGACCCCAGTCCCTTTTTAGCCTACATCAGAGCTGCAAGGCCATTTTCATACCCCATAAATGTTGTTTCTAGGATCGGACACGGGCTGCCTTGTTGGACAACTTACACGATGAACTCCACATCCACACGCAGCTGATGCTGGGCCTAGGATCCGAGGAAGACAAGCTGGAGAATGGTGGGCATGGCGGATTCTTGGAATCGTTTAAGGTAATAGAAAAAAAAAAGGAAAAAGAAAAACTCTTGACTTTTTGTAATGTAGAGAAGCGGAGGCATAGTTTTGACTGCAAAATGCCCCCAATTAAATTACCAGTGACATTTTGACTGCTAGCTTCTTTCAATGTCTCAGTCATCCAGCTCATGGTTGTCCTGAAAGTGCTTTTTTTCAAGACTCAACTGGACTTTCTGGCTTTTCTTTGAAGATGCCTCGCTTCTCATCCAAGAAGCTTCTTCAGCTCTGACTGGATGGTGGGGAAGGGAAGGATTTATATTCCTTGCAGACAGCTGGTCATTTGCATCCTTTTAGAGGGTGCTTGAAGCACTTGGAGGTTTATCTCTGTCCTCAGGGTCAGCTGAATAGTGCAAATGGGTGTGGAGACTTCTTGGAATTGCTGAGAGGACTGTGTTGCAAACCGGAGATAGGTAGTATCATATCCCTTCCCCTCTCTCAACAGAGGGGGAGGGATACAACACCATCAGTCTACAACACCCTTTCAGCAGTTCCTAGCTCCGCACCCATTTGCACTGCTCAGGTGATCCCGATGACACAGAAAAACTGACAAGTGGCCTTGATGACTCTCTAAAAGGATGCAAATGACCAGCTGTCTGCAAGGAATATAAATCCTTCCATTCCCCCCACCTAATCAGAACTGGAGAAGCTTCTTGGATGAGAAGCAAAACCTGCTCAAGGAAGAACAAAGAAAGCCCAGTTGCCTCTTGAAAGGGCCCCTTTGGGATAGCCTCTTTCAATACATTGCATCCTTCCACCAGTCATTGCCCATCACCCAATGCTGCTTGTCAGCAGTGAGTTGCTCTTACCGTCGCTACTGGTATGCTGATTGCGGTCTGTTCGTACACGTGCCGGACATGCGCTCTGCATGTGCCTGATGTGCACTGTGCTCACATGTGCAATCCACCATCCCCTGCGACAACCAGCTGCTTGTTGCGGCTCGCACAGGCACCACACGCTTATG